TTATACAGTTTTCCCTCGTACAACACGGTCAGGGTTTCGATACAACGCGGTTTTGAAAAATCGAATTCGCAAAATAATTAAATTAAAAAAAATTATNTTTAACTTACTTTCAATTTTTTCCAAAACATTTAATGTTCGTATTAGTATACGAACACAAGAAATACAATCAGCTTTTTTTAATAAAAATGTAAAATTATCATAACTATGTTGTACCATTTCTAAACAAAAACCACGATTTGAAAAATCATTTTCAGTTATCTGTGTATATATGTTTTGTCCATCTTCACGTGAAAACCATTCACCACGTAATGTTGTTGGTATATTACAACGTTGTTGTTGTGGATAATAATCATATTGAGCAAAGCATTTTGTGATCGAAATCAATATTATCAGCACTGAAAATTGATCCAAAAAGTCAAAAATCAAAAGTCGATTTCAATTGAACAACAACAACAAACCTTTGATGATAATTTGAGACATCATTTTATTGTTTGGCATCTTTGTTTCTAGAAAATCAAAATCAAGTCAAAATTTCATAACATCTGAAATGACTGTGTGACGACGATTGTGTAAACATAAACAAACAAAAAACAAGCAAAGAATTTTTTTGTTGTTTTGTTTCGTTTAGCAGGTAAGGTATACCTGTTGTAATCATCGCTTGATGGAAAACTGGTCTTCAAAAATGTTCGATTTTTTTTTGATTTTTTTCATACTGCAAAATTTAACCGATAGATGTCAGCATCGGTATGATGAAAATATTTATTCCGAAAAAAAACATATGTGTGGCTCATTTGCAAGAATATTCTCATTTTTGAATTTTTTTGAATTTTCAAAGTTTTTTTGATTTTTGATTTTCAAACCATCAAGGATGATTATGTTGATGATTATTTTATGAAAATTATCCGATTTGAAACTTTAAACATGTCAAACAATCGTTATAATCCGGCTGAACTACCACCAACTGTTGGTATATTGATCGATAATATTCAACAAAATTTTACCGGTATTTTGAATTTTTGGGATGATCAAACAATCGATTATTTGAATCAAAAACGCCGAACGATTCTAAATGAATGGGATCGTAATAGAAAATTGGAAAAAATTATCGATTTCGTTTCGTATAATCTACGTAAAACACCTGATCAAAATGAAATTGCACCATTTATGTTGCCTTCGATGATGATTAATCAAACAAATCATTCTCCATCATCACCATCATCAATATCATTTTCACCATCAACACCGAAACGAATTTCGGCTGCCGAAGTAAAAAATTGGGAACCATTTTATATTTATTTGTTTTCGAAAACATATGATGAATTAGTTATTTCTGGAACTAAATCACCAATAATATCAAGAGAAAAATGTGAAATTGGTTTACGACGTTTAGATCTTCGGAAATCCGAAGAGATTGATGCAATGATACATGCATTGATTGATTATGAAATTCTAGCATTTATTTATGAAAAATTCGCACAGAATATTGGTCAAATTGGCAGGCAAATTTTATTGGCCGGTATGGAAAAACTAAATTATGCTATAAATTTAAGTTTGTTTTCCGAAACTGTCATTTCATCAACAACATTGATTGAAATATTGAAAAATATTCATATTTTTAATCGAAATCTTTTCGAACGTAAACCATCCATCCGTCAAGCATTAAGTAGTTATTTGATTTATCTTCTGAACAAATTGGATACCGACGTTGATGATGTTAAATTCATACTGAACATGTCTCGACGTTTTGTTCATTATTTGAATCGTATACGATTGTTACCAACGGAAAATCGTTCATTCAATAATCGATCATCACAAGTGAAAGATCAATCATCGTATAGTTTACATTATTCACATTGGTTTGCAGCTTGTGTTTTACCACGTTATACTAAATGTTTTCCATTATATTTTGTTTGTGATATATTTGGTTTTGATTATCTTCAATCGATGATACGTTATTTGAAACAAGATTTTAAACCATCATCATCTGATTTGGATAATTATTCCGTACAAGATTATTTTGAACATATTGAATGTGAATTTCTTGACCATGGAAAACCATTTTGGTCGAAACAGTTTCGTCAAATGTTACAACATTCATCAATCGATATCCTATTGGTTAATATTCAGGATTATTTGTTGGATGAAAAAATCATTAGTAGCAGCAACCAGAATAACAGCAATTCTTCAATGACAAAATCAAAACTACAACAATTTTATCGATTTTACGAACGTCTATTACGATTTAAGTCGATTTTTGACAAGTTTTTTTGCCAGCCGCAACCTAATTCAACATTGGAACCAAGCATCATTGATTCTGAAAATGATGATTGTGAAGAATCATCATCAGATTCAGATTCAGACGATCAAGATGATGACATGGAATTAATCCCACCGCACTGTAATTATTGTGATAAAGATAAATTTTTTTATTGTTTTATTCATAATCAGATTAATCAGTCGACCACAACAAATCGAAAACATCTTGATCATGAACAGCAAAAAATTATATTGAAACCAAATCAATTTCCAAAAGAATGGATTGAACGATTCCTGATCAAATTGAATGATGATGAAATTATTATCGGTATATTTACAACTGAAAATTTCAACCCGAAACGTTTAAATCTACCTGAACGTATTGATTATTATTTTCCTGTTGGTAATCCTGAAGATCATTTATATCGTTTAATTATAAATAATCAATTATTATCATCAGTAAAACGGCCATTATTTTTGAATTATCTACGAAATTTTCAACCAAAAAGTGAATTATACCGAGATATATTGGAAATATTTCAACAACAAATTTCAATGAAACGATTCTGTCGTTCACAATCAATTCAATCAATTGGTTATGGTTTGGAAACTATACGACCAAATATTGAATTTCATCGCCTGCTATATACATCATTTGTAACCAATGTTAATACAAATATGTTAACTGATATGTTATCATTTTTGATTGGACAAACATCCGAATATGATTCATTATTTGGTTTAGATTCGAATAATTCAACTAATGGCAATAATAATGGTACTGTACAATTCATATTGATCAATAATCAATTCCAGAAGAAATGGGATGAACGTTTTAAACAATGGCTTATCTGTATACAGAATGTATTCTCTTATCAATTACCACGTATGGGTAAAGATTACATAACCCGTTTAGTATTTGATCCAAGACATTTGACATTAGCATTAATAAAAAATGGTTATCGTGCAATTGGTGGTATAAATTTTCGTCCATTCATATCGAAAGGATTTTCGGAAATTGTTTTCTGTGCCGTTTCGTCGGATGAACAAGTTAAAGGTTATGGTACAAGAATGATGAATCATTTAAAAGATTATCATCTATCACAAGGAATATATTATTTTCTTACATATGCTGATTCATATGCAATTGGTTATTTTAAGAAATTAGGTTTTACCGAATATGTTACATTACCACGTGAACAATATCATGGTTTCATCAAAGAATATGATGGTGCAACATTAATGGAATGTCGTCTAGATTCAAGATTATCATACAATAGTATTGGACAAATATTATTAATGCAGCGAACAATTGTACAGAAAATGATTGAATCAAAACAAACAACAAATCAATCAAAATCATTTTCATATAAATTTCCAAATGATCATCGTTTGGTACCATTATCATTTATACAACGAAAAAATCGTTCGAAAATTAAATTCGATACAATCGATACTATCGATTTTTCGGATCATTCAAAAGAATTATATCCGAAATTGAAATCAATTCTAGCGAAACTAAAATCACACCAGGATTCATGGCCATTTATTGAACGAATCGATGAACGTGATGCATCAAATTATTATGATGTTATTCGTTTTCCAATGGATTTAACAACAATAACTGAACGTTTGAAACGTTATTATTATGTTAATGTACATCTGTTTCATTGTGATATAAAACGTATATTTTTTAATTGTCGTACATTTAATAGTGAAGATACGGAATATTTTAAAATGGCCAATACACTGGAAAGATATTATATTGATTTAATGAAAGAACAAGGTTTATTAACCAAAACATTATTGAATGAAAAAATGATTATATCGTCATCAACATCATCGACATCGACACATCGTGATCATGATCGACATCATCATGAATCAATGATTCATCAATGATTGATTCTGATTGAAATCAAACAGAATTTGAATTTGTAAAAATTGATTTTTTTTTTTGAAAATTTTTTTAAATAAAACATGGCCAAAAGATGGCGCCACTAACTTGAAAAAAATTGATTAAAAAACTTTTTTTTTTACACATTCGATGTTGTTGTTGTTGTTGTTGTTTTTTGGCTTTTGCATTTTGCATTTTGGCTTTGGTTGGTTGTTGTTGTTGTTCATGACGATGCATGTTTTGTTTTCAAAAGAAAAAATTGTTTTTTGATTTGAAAAATTTTACAGTGTGTGTTTTAAGAAAACTTACCGTTTTGACATAATTCAGAAGAATTTACCGAAGAATTTTGAAGTTTTCCGTTTTCATTTTCGTTTTTTCTGTTTTTAAAACAATGTCGAATTCATGTTTTAATGGTGATTTTCGTCAAAAACCTAAACAAAGTTTAGGTGGTGTTAATCGTAATGTAAGTTTTGTTTTGTATATTGGGATTCAAACGAAATCAAAATCATCATTATTCATTCATTATTCGATTTTTTCAGCTAAAACGTGAACAACTTATACAACAAGCAGCACAAGAACGTAAACAACGTGAAGAATTTCGTAAACATACATTGATTGCAATAAAATTACAATCACAGATACGAAAATATTTAACCTGTAAAAATTGGGTAAATATTCTTTAATTTCAATTCATTTTTCTTTCAATATTGATTTTCTGTTTTGTTTGTCAAAAGTATGAATCTTTGCGTGCGGATTTCGATGCCAAACGATCACAATTGGGTGATGATTTTTTCATTAATAACAATAATAATAATAATGGCGATTTACATAAACATTCGATTCGTTTATATGATGATATACATTATCTTGCCATTCGTTTTATTCGATTCTATTCATATTCAATGGATAAAGAAAGATTGGTGAGTAAAATTCGAATTCTTGATTCTCGATTCTTGAAGTAAAACTTTTCTTTCTTCAAAATAGATTTTCATCAATAAATTATTGTTACAAAATCAAAGAATAATTTTATCACAACAACAACAACTACATTGGTTAAAATATATTTTCGTCTATAATTCATCAGCAATGGCAAATTTATTGGATTATTTTCCAAATAATAATCTTGATGAATTTAAATTAATATTGAACATATTTCAATTGTATTTGAATGAAAATAAATTAAATTCAAGATTAATGGAACAAATATGGTCATATCTGATTCGAAATGATTATATAAAAAATCTTCGTTGTATATTATATCGTATACGTACTATTGAATCGATTGGTGATCAATTTTTTAATAATGTTTATACCGTACTACTTAAACATTTGTTATCCATTGAAGATTTGAATGAAACAAATCAATCAATATTGATTGAATATTTTCTAAGTCAATTTTTATCCGGTTTAAATGATTTTAAATTATTGAATGAATTATTACAAACAATTTGTCAAAATCGTCCACCATTATTAACTATTGAAAATATTATACAATCATTTACGAATTTGGATTCAGAATCAATACTCATTGAACAATATTTGATTATATTTTATTCGGTTATCAAATTAATCATACAACCATTACATTATCAAATGAAATTTTCAAATCAATCATCATCACTGAATCATCATCAATTGATACAAAATTATCTGAATATATTGCGTTTATTTTCGTTACGTTTATTTGGACATTTTCGTACAAAACCAAGTTTTAATTATATTTATAAACGTGGTCTTTCGGTTGATCATCATCATCATAATGAATCATCGGATTGTATGGAAATTCAAGATAATAACGATAATGATGATGATGATTTTGATGATGATGAAGATCTGGATTATATGGATTCAGTACAGAGGAAAACACCCGAAGATGAACGATTATTATTTTATGTTAAACAAATATTTTCCCTACTAAACACTACTGAAAATTGTAATATAATTATTCGTTTTATTGATAATCATTTGGCCAATATTGATAATGATAATAATGATAATGATGATGATTCAATGGTGGTGGTTAAAATTGCACTTGTTTCATTATCAAGTGTTAGTCATTTGATGTTGTTTTTCTATCCAAATGCAATTCATCATAATAGGTAAAATAAAATTGATACATTTTGATTTTTGATACATTTTAAATTTTGATACATTTTTTTCTCTTTTCATAGATTGCTACATACATTAGCATTTAATTCAAATTTTTTGAAAAAATTATGGAATTTTGTTTTAAATGAATGTGGTACTGTAATGCCATTTACTGAATCAATACCATCAACATATATACAGATATTATCACGTGGTCTATTGAATTCATCATTTGATTGGCCACAATTTATACCACATTTAACAATATTTTGTGCATTATTTAATTATTTTCTACAAACATTAGATGATGTTGAATTTTTTAATGAATATCTTCGTAATAATGTTGATAATGGTAGTTTAGAAAATAATATAATATCTGTTTATAATTATAGTGTATTACCATTTAAACTTGATGAAATTATCGCGATGAGTTCAATATTACGTGATGCTGGTATTTCATTAATAGAATTAGCCTATCAAGATAGACGTATTATTAATTATAAAATCAATTTATTTGGATTTGGTGTTGAAGAAACTATCCAAGATGAATTTAGTATAAATTGTTGGAGTTTATTATTACGAAATCTATTACGATTACTACGACATATTTATGGTCGTGATATAAGACAGAAATTCTGTCCGGAAAATCATTGGATATCGAAACGTACATGTATAAGTATTTTGCCACAGAATTTTAATATTGCCATCAAACAACGACGTCGGTTATATCAAGAATTTCGTGGAATTAAACATATGAATCGTGATGAAATTATTCAACACGGGTCACCAATTTCAGTGAAAGATGTAATCAATGTAACATTGATACAGGAATTACCGTTTGTAGCATCATTTTGTGATCGTGTAAAAATAATGCAATCCCTGATCACTTATGATAAACAAAATCATGAAACAAATTTTTATGAAGTTATTCATGGTCGTACTGTAACCATACGACGAAATTATGTTTATGAAGATTCGTTTGAAAAATTATCACCAACATTGTTTCCATCGATGAAAAAAATCATTCGTGTACAATTAGTTTCGGCACTTGGTCTGGAAGAAACCGGTGTTGATGGTGGTGGTGTTTTTCGTGAATTTTTAGCCGAAGCATTGAAATCAGCATTCGATCCTAATCGTGGCCTATTCAAACTTACACAAGATGGTTTTCTTTATCCAAATCCATCGGCACAAATTCTATATGATAATAGTGATAGTCATTATTATTTTATTGGTCGGTTGTTGGGTAAAGCTATCTATGAACATATGCTTATTGAATTACCATTTGCACCATTTTTTTTGGCCAAAATCCTTACGGTTAATTCGGATATTGAAATCAATCATCTAGCATCATTGGATCCTGTTTTATATAAAAATTTAATATCATTAAAAAATTATATCGGTGATGTTTCCGATTTAGGATTGGATTTTACAGCAGTACAATCTGATTTTGGTACAAATAAAATTGAAGAATTAAAACCAAATGGTACAAATATTACTGTTACGAATCAAAATCGTATTGAATATATTCATCTTATGGCTGATTATAAATTAAATAAACAGGTGAGGATTGTGTGAGAATTTACATGTTTTCAATCTTTTTTTCAATAAAAATCACTTTCTTTTTTTGGCAACAGATTCGTGGACAATGTGCTGCATTCAAAAAAGGTTTCTATAATGTTGTCAATTTTGATTGGATCAAAATGTTTGATACAAAAGAATTGCAGATATTAATATCGGGTGCACCAACACCGATCGATATTGATGATTTATGGCAACATACTGTTTATACGGGTAATTATAATTCAGATCATCAAGTTATACAAAATTTTTGGGAAGTATTACGTGAATTTGAAGAAAATGATAAACGTAAATTTTTAAAATTTGTTACATCATGTTCAAGACCACCATTATTAGGTTTTAAAGATTTATGTCCAGCATTTTGTATACAGAATGCAGGTCCTGATCCGGAACGTTTGCCAACATCATCAACATGTATGAATTTATTAAAATTACCCGAAATATATGATAAAAAATCGTTGAAAGAAAAACTTGTTTATGCTATTAATTCGGGATCCGGTTTTGAATTAAGTTGAACAAAATTTTACTTCCATTACTTCTTCCAATATACTGAATAATAATAACATTTTAATTTGTTTCGTTTTCATTTCAATTTGTTTTTTTTGTAATTTGCCAAATATGAACTTTATTTTCAGCACCGCTTATTAATTCCATTTTAGTAGGATGTATAGCAAATGTATGTATCACTTTTTGTTTGTGCTGTAATTTGGTCAAAATTGTACCCTGTGAATTTAAATATTAAAAAAAATGAAAATAAAATCAATTTTAAAAAATAACAGATGTTTTACTAATTCAATTACTTCAAGTAATGACCAAATATAAATATTTCCATCTTCCGAACCAGATATGATTAATGAATCATTATCAAGAAAACCATTATCGATACGATATTTTTGATTTAAATGGCCTTCGAATCTATTATATTATTCAATGAAATTATCATTCTAAATTATTCAATGAAATTTACTTACGATGCTAGAATTTGGCCACTTGATTTATCAACAAGTTTCAATAGATTATTCATACCACTAACCAGCATACATTGACTATCGTTTGTAAAATTTACATATGTTAATGGTGCTAATGTGAAACAAAAAGATGAAATAATCATCATTGGTATTTACATTGAAAAACAAACATGACAACAAAAACTCACAATGCAGATTATCAGCTTCCATAATTCCTTTTCGTATATCATAACGACGTAAATGATGATCCAATGAAACGGTTGCAATTTCATGATCAGTTATAGCTAAATATGATATACTATCTTTTGCTTCATCCAGTACTTGGATTGGTTCTCTGGAATTACTTTTTCCATCCCATATTTTAACCATACCATCTAATGATCCGGAAACAAATACAGTTGAATCTTCATTAAAACGAACAACATTAACAACAGCAATATGTGCACGTAAACGACGCAATGGTTGACCAGTTGTTACATCCCATAAAATCAAAGTTTTATCATGACTACCCGATATTAGTTGACTACTATCACAAGAACAATCAACATCCATTACTTCAAAACCATGTCCGGAATAGGTTTTCAATAATAATTGTTTTCGGGGATTCCATAATTTTATTGTTTTATCACTACCACATGTAAGACAGTATTCACCATCAACTTTTGTAAATTGCAAAAACAAAAGAAATTAAAACTTTTTCGATTAGATAATAGATATTTACCATTCAATGTAACTTTACGTATAGCACCTTGATGACAATCAAATGAATGTTCAATTTGACAAGTTAAATTCATTTTTCACTTGAATCAAAATAATCAAAAATATTCGAAGAATTTATCACCAAAAAAAAAGCAAAAAAATGTATCGCCATCTAACGGTGAATCATTGCAAGTTTTTATCATCAAAACATCGATCGACAACAAACTGAACAAATCAAACTTTGTTGTTTTGATATGTTGATGATTCAATAAGCGGCGTGTCATTAAATTAAAATTAAATCAACTTTTGGATGATTCAATCAATGAAAACAACGGATTAATTGTATGATGGGAAACGAAACAAGTATATTAAAAAAATGTAATGTTTCATGTAAATCAGAATTTCAAACAAAACAATGGTCATTATTTGATGCTAAACATGAAAATCAATCATTTAGTGTATTTATTTTTCAAAATAATGATTATTGTTATGATTTTATGGTTAGTGTGTAATAATTCAATTCTTTTGATTCGATTCTTGATGATTTTTTTTCATTCATTTCAGAAATGGAAACATATACGTCATCCATATTTGGTAAAATTTTATGAATCTGGTATTTATAAGAATAAAAAATATATTCTAACCGAACCAGTAATCCCACTGCGACAAATATTCGAACATTATCATCAATTTTTACGTTTAAGTGGCCTATATAATATTGGTGAAGCCATAACATTTTTACATCAAATTTGTCATATATCCATTAATAATTTATCGATTGATTCAATATTTATATCAAAAAATGATCCAAATGAATTATGGAAAATTGGTTCCCTATATTGGTGTAGTACAATCGAAACAGAAACCATGGATTTTTTGAAAAATCTTTTGAATTTTCATAAACAAAATGATTCCCTGCAGATATTACCACCTGAAATTCGTCAAATCGACAATCAATCGAATCATTTGATCAAATCAATAAACGATATTCATCAACGAGATATTTATTCGTTTATAATATTAATACAGGAATTGTTTTATGATTCAAACAACGTGCAACCAAAATCCGATCCAAATAATCATCATAATTTTATGGCCAAAAAATTGCTGGAAAATTTTTTCCAATCGAAACCCTCGGAAAGACCATCATCAATACAATCGATACTTGAAGATCCATTATTTAAAAATTGTCCATTTGTACAGCTTCGACAATTTCTAAGTAATTTTAGTCAATATAATGATCGGGAAAAATTTACTTTTCTTGAAAATCTTATTGAAAATTTAAAAAAATTTCCAGATCAATCATTAGTTGTAAATATATTTACAATGATTGTTAGCTCAAGATTTATAATGTCAAATCGTTTAGTTTATAATAATGTTATGCCTTATTTTCTTATACCATTATCATCATTATCATCGAAAAACGATGAAAACTTACCCAATCAACAATATCTTTTGACCAATGGTGAAACAATCACATTAAAACCATTCATCAATGAACAAATTTATCGTAAATCAATTATACCACATTTAATGAAATTATATTGTGTACATGATTATAAAATACGTATCCTTTTACTGAAATATCTTCCACATTATGGTCGTTGTGTATCGAAACAATGTTTGAAAAAAATTCTTCTACCACAAATTTTATTAGGTATAAAAGATTTGGATAAAGAATTAGTATCATTAACATTTCGTTCGATTGCAACACTGATTGATTTATTTGGTGTTTGTGATGTACTTGGTGGTGGTATGAATCGTATCAGATATTTTTCAACAAATGTTTCCGATAATAACGGGGAAAATGATTCGATCAAATCAATGGATAATAATGCTGTTGGCCGAAGAAATTCATTCGACAGTACAAAATCATCAAGCATCTTTGCCGAAGATGATGATCATCATCAGAAATTAGTAACATTTGAACGTAGTTCACCTGATGGTGGTGAAACAATTTCGAATGAAAATATCAATAGCAATAAATTCCCATTATCAGGCTCAAGGGTTAACAATTTGCAATATGGTGATGATGATGATGATGAGGAATGGCCAGGCTGGGAACCAAATGAACAATTAACGATTCAGCCGCAGCAATCAACCTTAATGACAAGCAATAATAAAAGTGATTCAGTAAAATTAATGAAAAAAGTAAAAAAATTGGAAGAAAATTTTAAAACATTCGATATAAAAGAAATTGATTTCAATCATGTAAATCATAGTAAAGAAATTGATAATCTTTTTATGGATATGGCACCAGTGGTGAATTTTAATCATCGAAATTCTCATTTGGATTCAAAAACACCGATCAAAAACGATGCAATGAAAAAAGAATCTGAACCATCGATTGGTTCGGATGATGATTTACAACAATCCATCCGTATTGATTCAAGTATTTTTGCGGATAAAAATGATTTCGATCAAAATCATATCGGTTGGAATGATGATGATGATGGCGGTGGTGGTGGTGGTTGTTTTGATTGGAATGATGATTTGAATGGATCGTTGATCATCAACGATGATGATGATGATGATGGTGATGGTGAAAAAGATGATAATAAAGACAATCAACCAACAGATGTTGTGGTTAAATGAATTGAAAATTTAAAAAAATAAAAAAATGTTTTTTTATAAAAAAAAGTAACTTTTTCAAGATTTTTTTTGATTTTTCAATCAAAATTCAATCATAGATGGCGCTACTGTAACAGAAATTTTCGAATCCTGAAAATGATTCGAATTTTCATTTTTGCATTTTTGGTTTTTTGCAATTTCAAAAATTGCAAAAAACTTCATTTCGAAAATTGCAAAAAAAAAAATCAATAATTCATTCGATTTGACAATGATGATGATGATGGTAAGTTTTGGCAAACACCTGTTTAGATTCTTGCTGGTCATTTTTTTTTTCTTTTGTTTGTCTGATTTGATTGCGTCAATCAAATCAAGAAAAACAAAAAATCTAATATCTTATCAAATATTGAATATGATTTTTGTTGTTGTTGTTTTGTTATCTAAGAATCGAAACAACAACAACAACATTGAACTCCCACACACTTTTTTTTTTGCCAAAAGTTTGAAGCAAATTTTTCTTTACGCCTATTTTTGACCCATTAAAATTCTTTTTAGAAAAAAAAAATTTCTTCTTCCCCTCGTTTGCAAATCCAATTACGCAGAGAGAGAGAGAGAGAGAGAGAGAGAGAGAGAGAGAGAGAGAGAATTGCGAAAATTTTATTCAAAAAAAGAAATCGATTCAAATCAAACTTATTATCAACGCCATNCTCGTTTGCAAATATAATTACGCAGAGAGAGAGAGAGAGAGAGAGAGAGAGAGAGAGAGAGAGAGAGAGCGAAAAAACGAAAGAATTTTGTTCAAATTCAAAAATTTTTATCAAATAAATATGGATTGGATACGAATGATGATCCTGGATATCTGGACAATAATCAAACAAAACAAAAGATAATAATCAACGACAATCATTAACCTTCGACAATCAGCTCATCTTTTCAACACACACACACCTACACGCAGAGGGAGAGAGAGAGAGAGAGAGAAAGAATTGCGAAAATTTTATTCAAAAAAAGAAATCGATTCAAATCAAACTTATTATCAACGCCATCGCACCACCATATTATTGTCGTAATAGAAGAAGAAGCTAATCGAGAATCGATTCACTTATCTTCTTCGGTAATAATCATTATCATAAGAAAAAATTGACAGGGAAAAGAAAAACTTGCACCGACTGGTAAAGAAAATATTAGGAAAAAAAATCCTAATTCTGTCGTTTGAATTTTCCATTATTATCATTATTGAATGACGCTATCGGCATCGATTTCTGTTGCTTGCTTGCTTGATTTTTGCCCTTGTTTCGTTGTTTTGTTTGGTTTCATTTCACAATTGATTCTGACATTCTCTATTGACTCCTACACACCAGCAAACTCCCTCACACCACCTACTCCCACACACACACACACACAGGGGGAAAAAGCCATATATACCGGCCTTGAACGGGAAAAACCAGAAACAAGAAAAAAAATTTTTGTCCGGGATTCGAAATTAGAAAAAAAACGAAGAAAAAACATTGTTTTGTTTAATCCATCCATGATGATGATGATCATCACTATGGCTATCATTTCGAAACAATCAAATATAACGTCAATCGAAGAAAATTTATCGGAAATAAAAATCCTGGAAACTTTCCCTGGGTCAATCTTTTTTTTTGAAAAATTATCGAAATGCAAAAAATCAAGAAAATCGAGAAGAAACTGATATGATTTTTTTTTTGACGTTTTCATTCAACACTGGCGTCACCCAGTTTTTCACTGATTCTTTTTTCTGACTTTTTTTTCACACACAAACATCATCAACAACAAATTTTTTTCCAAACAAAAAAAAAAATCCAGGATCGAATCAACCAACCATTCAAATTCAATTCAATTTTAGTAAGTCAGTCAGTCAGTCATGGTCACCCGAAGAAGAAAAAATATTATGAATTCCGGGTATAAATTTCTCTCTCTCTCTCTCTCTCTCTCTCTCTCTCTCTCTCTCTCTCTCCACACTTTTTCTTTTTTTTTTTTTTTTTTTTTTTNNNAAAAAAAAAGTAGCGCGAATTCAACATTGAACCAACAACAAATTGACTATTTCGATCCTGGATGACCTAATTTTAGAATATTCTATATTCTTGCTCAATATAATGAAACTAACTCTTCGTTTTTTTCGTTTTTGTCGGGTTTATTTTCAGCTAAATATTCTATATTTACGTTTTGGTTTGTTTGTTTTTATATATAGGTTGTTGTTGTTGTTGTTATCATCATCATCATGGCGCCCACGAATTCTGTTGTTGTTGTTGTTGTTGATGTTGTCGATGATGATGATGATGATGATGATAATCATACGTCACACATATATCTGGGATTTTGTAATATTCTTTTTTTATGGGAATTTCTTCTTCGTTGTTGTTTTCGATGTTATTTGTTTTTCCAACCAGCCAGAAAAAAAACATATGAAAAAAATCTGTGCGCGCGAAAAAAATATTCGTGTGATGGCCATGCAAAACAAAAAAAAAAATTCCATGGCCGTTTTCTTTTCGGGAACATTGCTGGAAATGAAATTTTTGGAAACCTGGATGATGTGATGTTTTGTTTTGTTTTGTTTGGATGTTTGTTTTTTGTTTTTTGTTTTGTTTCATTTGCACATCGATTTTTTTCTGGTTTATCAAATTTTCCATCTATTTTTGGGGTTTTTTAGTTGGTCGGAAATTTTCCCGAAAATAAAATTTCCGAAAGATTTTTTTTCAAAATACAAAATCAATCAATAAAGTTTTGGCTTGTTACATTTAGTTAACCCTTTGACAAACAAACAGGAAAAAAAAAATTCACTTGAAATTCTTTCGATATCACACCTGCTGTTGTTGATAATATCTGTTATGATCATCGTCGTTTGGTTGATGCGCAATTCACTGAATCGATTCCATAACAGAATAACAACAACAACAAGTTTAGCCATTCCGAGACTGACATTTTCGGCAAAAACGAAACGAAACTAGGTCTATGTCATCCAGGAATTTATTTTCGTTGTTCCAAATTTTCTTTTTCTTTGTTTTTCTTCGTCCATTATACAATGCTTTTTCACACCCACAAAGCGAGAGAGAAGTAATAAACGATGCCGCTACATTTTATTTCGGTGAAGATAACATCGCTGGAACATTTCGGAAACATTGCTGAAACATCATTGGATAGCATCATTGAATATGTATGTGGATAGAGAAATTTTTTTGGGAAGTTTTTGGGAAATTTTTGCAACCAAGAAAAATGTATTCATTAATATCCAATGCGATCAACTGATTGGTTAATTTTAAAATTCTGGATTCTGCAAAAGAATTCTGTTTTCTTAATTGAAATTCTGTTCTGTAAAAATTGATAATAATAATAATATTCATTTTAAAAACATTGAATATATGAAAACAAAAAAAGAATTCGATGCACGCATGCGCGTTTTTGTCGTCGGTTTTCATTCTGTGATTCTGTTGGTGGTTGGTTAGTTGTGTCCAGAATTCAAATGATAAAAATGATTCATCTGATGATGATGAAAAAGAATCCAGCATGCTACCATCATCATCACCACCACCACCAACAACAACAACAACATCATAGTGATCATATCACTTGTGCGTGCCTCATTCATTGAAAAAAAATTGAAAATCGAAAAAATTGAAAGATTTTTTCTCTCTTTTTTTCGGATTCTGATGTATAGTTTGGATATTTTTATTTTTTCAAACCAAAAAATAATTTGCTTTGTTATTCTGTCGTTTGTTTTTTCTGCTGCAAATCTGCTGTTTCAGATTCTGTGAACGAAAGAATTTTTATTAGCCAAGATTATCATCAAAAAAATTGGTTTTTTTCATCGATAAAATATGGTTTTCTTTTCTTGATCATTGCAATTTCAATTGCAAACAACAATATCATCATCATCATCATCATTAGACATTTTACTTTTGGTAAGTAAATTTTTTTGTTTCTTTAACATCCCATGCAGATTGCATTTACAAATGCAAATACAGTGTCCATTCGTGTCCAACAGTGTTTTTTTCAATTTTTTTAAAAATTCTGTTGCTTTTGTTGCATAATGAATATTGTCGATTCTGTTTTGTTATTCAATGATGATGATTCATTTCACCTTGCAATTCAATTATTCAGTCAGTCAGTCAGTCAGAAATGGATGTGCAATTTTTTTTCTTCAAAAAAAAAATATTGCTCCAATTTGAAGCAATTTTCTTTAAAAAAAAAATTTCTCTTAACTCTTTCGACACTTTATTTCTCCAGGCAAAAATTTTCTCTATTTGCATCAATCAATCAATCAATTCACTGCAGTCAATGGAAAAAAAAGTAAAGAAATTTTTCAGGAAAAATGAAATGATTTCTAAGTGCAAAGATTTTGTTTTCTGGAAATTTTTTTTTCAAAATTCAAAAAACGATGCAACGCCATCTATTGTTTAGAATTTCAAAAAAAAGAAAGATATTTTTTTTTTTTTTTTGGTTAGTGATATTTTGAGCAGCAGCAGCAGCATGCATGGATGGATGCATTTTTATT